CAGTAAGTTTTCCCCGGGCATGCGCCCGCCTGCCTCGGGGGCCGCCGCCGCCGTGTCGTCGTGTCGCGGGGAGGAGGCGATAGGCGAGGCACACTCACTCGCCCCCCTTCCCGGGGGCCCCCCGCGGGCGCAGCAGCGCTAAACCCTGCTCCTCATTGACGATGGCACCTGCCTCGGAAGGTGTTGCACTCGACCATTATTACCGGCCGGTGAAAGGTTAAATGAAACAGTAACGATGAAATATGGAAAAGAGTATACATACTTCTTCATATAAGAAAAGACTCTCCGGGTCGTCCGACGACGTTATTTCCGTAAAACTCCCCCCAGTGTTTCCCATGGCAGGAGGAGCCAAGAACACCAGCACTGCAACATGAATGCGAGCGTTCCGGCTCCCGGCCCTTCTGCTCTCACGGGCATGCCGTTTTTAGGTAAATGGGGCTGTAAATAAGAAAACGTGGCAGAAAGGAAAGCGCGCGCCGGCTGGGCGGCTGGCTGCATCATACCTTGCCCCTCCGCCTCTTCTGCTTCCCAATGCCACCACCCGCCGCCACCGCCACCCGGAGAGCAAAGTGTATCAAGTCCCGCGCCCGCCGCGCCCCGCCACGTCCCGTCGCTAATTGGGTCGAAAAGTTGGCTCAGGGCACTGTGATGGACTCGTGGCGGGGCGGGGCGTGGCGGGGCGGGGCACAGCGAGCGCGCGGTGGTCGGTCAGGCTAAGTGCTCAGGGCACCACGACGGACCTCCACTAAGGATCAGCCACCGAGCCCCGGGCCCAGCACGACGAGCAGCATCACCGCACCGCGCACATGTATCAAAAGAACGTTACGGGGTCCCCGCGTCCCTCCTCCCGGTCCCTCCTCGGCCCGCACGGGCCCGCAGGTCCCCGGGCGCCCTTGGTCCTGGTGATCTCTGGCCGGCTCATTACACGGCCTCTGCTGCAAAAAGCAGCGCGCTACTCAAACGGACCCCCACCCCTCCCCCCGTCTCTCTCTCTGTCTCTCTCTCTCTCATCCTCTCCCCCCCCCCTCTCCATTCCCCTCTCTCTCCTTTTTGCCCTCTCACCCCGGCGGAACGTGCTCGCCATATAAACGAATCGCCGGAGTGGACACGGGCGGATGGATACATGAGAGAGTGGCCGGTGCTTGGCTCCTGGAGCGCTCGGCACAGCAGCCTCCGCAGCCTCGGCAGCCTCAGCTCTCCGGGCGGCTGCAGCAGAGGCAGCCGGCAGTGATGACAGCCTCGCCGTAGATTAGCCCCCTGGGAGAGCAACCCCCACCCCTCTTTCTCTTTCTCTCGCTCCCTCTCTCTGTGTCCATTCCCAGCGGCGGGAGCCTTGCTCACGCTCGTGCGCCAGACCATGTTGGAGAGGCTGGCTGGCGCGACGCAGTAGTGTGCAGTGGGACGCGCTCTCCCAGCCACCGTGCCGCGCGCCGCGCTCCCAGGCCCTCCAGTGCTGGACGGCCCATTAGCATTCAAGGGGCCCGCCGCCACCCCGCCACACCCCCATCCGCCACCAAAACTTCTTGGCATCAAAACTGACGAAGAAACGCGATGTTTGCTGAAAGCGAGGGATCCCGTCCGTGTAACCCCTCCCCTCCTCTCCCCTCCCCCTAAACACAAACACGTGCGCAACGCACGATTACTATATATGCCGCAGAGCATCAAGGACGCACGCTGGATCCGGAATTTGCGTCAATTCACTGTGACGACAATATTTCCGTCCAATTTCGCACACACACAAAACTTATCTAAAGAAAATAAAAAAAATAAAAATAAACAAAAAACTTAGGTGCTTTTAGCATTACTTTTAAGACTTTACAGATAGTACTCAGATATTTTTCTAAAGGCACTCCCTCACTTTGTTCTTCACTGCCAACCCAACCCAATCCAACCCTCCAGTGCACGCCCATGCTGCTCCAACTCGGCGCGCCGAACCGCCAGCTTAGCGTGTCTCAAAATACACGCGGCGAGGCGAGGTGGATCACTTCAACTTTTGCCTCGCGTGGAAACAAAGTGGGGGCGCTCTCGACCCGCTCGCTCGCTCACTCACTCTCTCACTCGCTCTTCCCAGGCTCACTCACTTAGTCTCACTCACACTCACTCGTCCTCTCGCTTACTCACCTCGGGCTTGACCAGGGACATGATGCCCCCCTCCTCCTGGCCGACCTGCGCCAACAAAAAAGAGAAGAAAAAGTTAGTTTGCGATAAGAAAACCACACCACGGCCCGGCGCCGCCCCCAACACCGCGCCTCTGCTGCTCTGCGAGTCGATCCCTGCAAACTTCTATTCTTTCTCACCATCCAGACTTGCCTCGTCTTCTTTTTCTTCTTAAAAAAAATGGAGAAAAATGGTTGGACAGGGGAGCTTTCTGGCACACCATTTATCCGTGACACCTTCCTAACAGGGAATGGGAGGCCCTTCCTGCTCCGCACTTCCCCGCGCTCCCCTCGACTCCTTATTGTGTTTCCGCTCGCTTTGAACCCAATTCATCGAGTTATACGGCGTCCAGTCTGATGAGCTGGCCGCATTAGGTCCCCAGGCCGCCCCAGCCCGGTCGCTTGACGTGACCGCTATCTCCCCCTCCCAAGCGCCACCCTGGCCTGGTCATACCCTGATCCCCTAACCCCCGCTCCATTCATCCCTCTCCAACAACCCCCGCTTCCTCGCCAGCCGAAAGTAGGGAGATCCACTGCATTGAATGCCACGCTCAATAGAAACACTTTGCGTGCCACGGGAACAGTATCATGCGTGTTGTTTGACAGCGAGCGACGTCCTTGTATTGGCAAGGTCACAGAGTTGATTAAAGGGAAATGACAGGTGTCGGTTTGTGCCCCAACAGTAAACTGCGCCAAATCATCCGAACGGTAATAAATTATCCCAAAAATGTTTATAAAATTATTGTACACGGTAAAATACAGTTGTCTAAAATGACGATAGGTGATAGATTATGCCCGAAAGGAATTTCCTGTTAAATATCAAAGTATTCTTGTGTTTTAACAGAGCATACTTATGTACCTTATTTTATCTATACTATCCACACTGAATTATGTTCTGTAAATTTTCAGTGGATTGTCCGTTGACTTTTTATTAATGCAGGCTTACACACGTTTCACAATTTACATTGGAGAATTCGTATCAATCATCCTGTGCATAACATATTTCTAAATGTCGACTTGGAATTATAAACGAGCTCCAAAATAAATTGCGTTTATTTATGCTATCTTGCGTATGGAGGACACATTTTCTCGTGACCCGCTTGCCGCTTGCGTTGCGCACCCGGACTCGGGAGCGGGCGGAGGCAAGAAGGGCATCTACTGTCCACATCAAGATTCCCCCCTCCCCTCCTCCTCACTGCACTCTCCTCGGTTTTCGATGAATTCCGTCGACCAGAAGCGGCGGCGGCAGCAGTGCCTCCGCGCGGCCCGTCCCTATCGTGCCGTTGCTGGCCTCCACCACCCCGCCGCACCGTACCCGAATCTGAAGTGTTTTCTGGGAGACATCGACCAGAGCGGGGGGTGCGCCGTGGGGCGCGTGGTGGCAGAGCAGGGTGGGGCGGGGTGGGGCGTGCGATTCAGGTGATAGCAGGAGACAGGGGTGGCGGGGCGTGGCGCCCGCCTCACGGTTCACTGCACTGACCGCAAGGCTCCGCGCTCCGCCAACGCCGCGCCAGCACCCGGATTTGGGCGACCGGA